AGAAACATTGAGATATAGCTTCACTAGTGGTTATTATCACTTCTTGTGATATTGATATAATCCTTCTGTTGATGCAGCCCAGGACTCCACTGGCTTTTTCTGACATCTGTAGTCTATACCTGTATTCTTCACTTAAATAAATATCTGTAGAAGAAACGGTCAAACAATGGAAGGCATTTCCTCTGCAGAGGTTTATTTAACTTAACATCAAGTATCAACCTGAAATTTTTTTATTAGGCATAATGCCTGAAAAGATTAACAAACAAAGCCTATATTTGATTTTACACGTCCTCACAGCAGCAAGAATAAGTTTTGCGCAATATTGGGAAAAATGAAGCACTACCACCAGAAGAAGACATAATCAGAAAAACATTGGAATGCGCGGAGATGGACAGAGTAACTTTGAGATGGAAGGATAAAGAAGATACAGACTACTATGAAACTTGGGACTTATTCTACTGTTGGCTAGAAGAAAGAATGAAGGATTAGGAATGGAATATGTATTAGTATGGTTGATTCCAGACAGCTTGTTGGTTGAAAAACTAACATATGTATGTAAGAGAAAAATAAAAATAAAATAAAATGATAAAATAAAATAATTATAAAATAAAAAAAAAAGTGCTGTAAGGTCCTCACAAATTTCCATGGGCTACTCATGAATTTTAAAAAGCCAAAGAAACTCCTGAGCTGAGGTTTCAGCAAGAAAACAACTTTATTTTGATCAAAAGAAGTAATTGATGGAAACTAATCAAGGAGAGAAGCAACCTAGAACTAAGGAGAAACTTCCTGACAGTTAGAACAATTAACCCAGTGGAACAACCTGCCTCCAGAAGCAGTGAATGCTCCATCACTGGAAGTTTTTAAGAAGAGACTGGACAGCCATTTGTCCGAAATGGTATAGGGTTTCATGCGTGAGCAGGGGGTTGGACTTGATGACCTCCAAGGTCCTTTCCAACTTTATTATGATGATCATCGCAGAGTCAGGCAGATGTTCAGACTGGATTTGGCATTTTTGTCTACCTATCGAGTCCTTACCAAGGACCTGGGATAGGCAGAGGTGGATGTTTGATGGTGTTACAGATCTCGTCGCAGGATGGAAGCGGTTCCTAGTAGGGCCGCCTTTTGCAATTGACTAATGGTGAATTTGTCAATGCCAATGATGGTGTTCAAGTGGTGCTCCAATTGTTTTGGGATTGCACCCAAGGCGCCTATTACTATTGGTACTACCCTTGTTTGCTTTTGCCACAGTATTTCTATTTCTATTTGTAGGTCTTTGTATTTTGTTATCTTCTCCAGTTCTTTCTCGTCCATTCTGCTGTCTCCAGGCACTGCCACGTTGTTGTTATTATTATTATTATTATTGATCATCGCACAGTCAGCCAGATGTTCAGACTGGATTTGGCATTTTGTCTACCTATCGAGTCCTTACCCAGGACCTGGGATAAGCAGACGTGGATGTTTCATGGTATTACAGACCTCGTCGCATGATGGAAGCAGTTCCTAGTAGGGTCGCCTTTTGCAATTGACTAATAGCGAATTTGTCAATGCCAATGGTGTTCAAGTGGTGCTCCAGTTGTTTTGGGATTGCACCCAAAGAGCCTATTACTATTGGTATTACCCTTGCTTGCCTTTGCCACAGTCTTTCTATTTCTATTTGTAGGTCTTTGTATTTTGTTATGTTCTCCAGTTCTTTCTCGTCTATTCTGCTGTCTCCAGGCACTGCCACGTTGTTGTTGTTGTTGTTGTTATTATTATTATTATTATATAGAATACAGTACAGGTAATTGAACAAACTTTGTTGCATGACATTCTTGATTAAGTTATCTTTCCATTGACATATAATTTTATGGTACTACTCCCCCCCAAAAAGTGGTATTATTAGCCATCAAACCTCAAAAAATACACTTTTCCCAAAAGGTTTCCACAATTTGGCCACTACTGTACATAAAACACTTGCTACTATCTATAAAGCGGCTTGCAAATAAAAAATTGTATAAGACAGCTACAAAATAACACTACTAATATCAAGCTTACACACAATAAAATCAAAAGCACTATAAGATCCCTTCAATACGCTGTGAATTTTAAATAAAACTTTTATTGTAGTATTAAATTAACCCCTCCCGTATTATGGAAGAGAGATGTTTGGAGAAAGAAAAGCCTGCACAATGCTTTTATTAATTGTTCATCAGTATTTTTGGACGAGGGCAAACACCTACAGTTGCTACCTCATATTGTCTGGCTGCACACTTAAAAAAAAAAAAAAAAGGAATCTGTTGCTTTTAACCTTCACCAAAACATCAGATCCAGCCAACACTCTTAAAACACAAAAGAGGCAATTTTACATCCGAGCAAGGCTGCAGAGTCATAAAATCGCAAAGCTTTTAAAATCTAAAATGTGATTAGAAAATTGTTAGAAATGAGCTACATTCAAATATGTTGGCAAAACCAGCAATTAGGAGCAAATGGAATGTCTGCGTAACAGAGAATCTGCCAGCAGAAACAAAGATAACCTTTTCCCCCCCCCCTTTTAGGAGTAAAAGCACAGGCAACCTTTTATGGTGGCCAAAAATAAAATAAAATAAAAATAAAATGAGAGACGTTTTCAGCGCATTGACTGAGGAGCATATATTTTAACTGCCCTTGATGTGAAATTTCTGCTGAAAGTTCAAAAGACGAGATAGCCTTTTTTCAATTTTATAGAGAGAATTATTTTGTGGAACTGTCGGTCTGAAGCATCTTGGAAGAGAAGAGAATATCGGTAGCTCAAGCTGGAACCATGGGGTACTTTGATGCTCTCTGAACTTGGTGGTTTTCTTGCAGACGTTTCATGATCCAACTAGGTAACATCATCAGTTCTAGAAGGGAGGGGGAGGAGGAGGAGGAGGAGGAAGACTGTGGGGTCCTTGGTGCTCTCTGAGCTCGGTAATTTTCTTGCAGACATTTCATGACCCAACTAGGTAACATCTTCAGTGCTAGAAGGGAGTTGGGTTTATAATAATAATAATAATAATAGTAAAGTTGGAAGGGACCTTGGAGGTCATCTAGTCCAACCCAGGAAACCCTATACCATTTCAGACAAATGGCTGTCCAGTCTCTTCTTAAAAACCTCCAGTGTTGGAGCATTCACAGCTTCTGGAGGCAGGTTGTTCCCCTGGTTAATTGTTCTAACTGTCAGGAAGTTTCTCCTTAGTTCTAGGTTGCTTCTCTCCTTGATTAGTTTCCACCCGTTGCTTCTTGTCCTGCCTTCAGGGGCCTTGGAGAATAGCTTGACTCCCTCCTCTTTGGGGCAGTCCCTGAGATATTGGAAGACTGCTATCATGTCCCCCCTCGTCCTTCTGTTCATTAAACTAGACACAACCAATTCCATCAACCTTTCCTTATATGCTTTAGCCTCCAGTCCCCTAATCATCTTTGTTGCTCTTCTCTATACTCTTTCTAGAGTCTCAACATCTTTTTTACATCGCGGTGACCAAAACTGGATGCAGTATTCCAAGTGTGGCCTTGTAAAGTGGTATTAACACTTCACACGATCTTGATTCTATCCCTCTGTTAATGCAGCCTAGCACTGTGTTGGCCTTTTTGGCAGCTACAGCACACTGCTGGCTCATATTTAAGTGATTGTCCACTAGGACTCCGAGATCCCTCTCACAGTTACTACTATTGAGCAAGGTACCCCCTATACTATACCTGTACATTTGGTTTTTCTTGCCTAAATGTAGAACCTTGCTTTTTTCACCATTGAATTTCATTTGGTTAGATAGTGCCCAATGTTCAAGTCTGTCCAGATCCTTCTGTATCTTAAGCCTGTCTTCTGGAGTGTGGAGAGAAAAATGAGGTCTGTGGAAACCTTGATTCTCTCTAAGCTTGGTGCTTTTTTTTTTTTGCAGGTGTTTCATCACCTTACTATGTAGTGTCATCAATGCTCTGATGAGTGGGCCAGCACTGATGTTGTAACGTCTTTGATAATGAAACGTCTGCAAGGAAACCACCAAGCTTAGAGAGCACCAAGGACCTTACTGCACCATCTTTTCTTTTTCAATGTTACAAGCTTATATTGTTTCTCTTAGCCTATTTAGGAAAAGCAAGGCAAAGTTGGAAGAATTCTGCAAAGTTTCCCCTTAATCAGAAAAGATCAATATTGTCTGAAGATAATGAGTTAGCTATTTTTGCAAGACAGAGAGAGAGACAGACAAACAGACACAGAGAGAGACAGAGAAAGAGAGAGACAGACACAGAGAGAGACAAAGAGAAAGAGAGAGACAGAGAAAGAGAAAAAGAGATAGACAGACACAGAGACAGACAGACACATACACATACACACACAGAGACAGAGACAGACAGAGAGAAAGAGAGACAGACACAGAGAGAGACAGACAGACAGAGAAAGAGAGACAAAGAGACAGACAGACACACACACACAGAGAGACAGAGAGAGACAGAGAAAGAGAGACAGACACACACACACACAGATAGACAGACAGACAGAGAAAAACACACACACACAAAGATAGAGAGAGAGAAAGAGACAGAGAAAGAGAGAGACAGACAGACACAGAGACAGAGAGGAACACACACACACACACACACACAGAGTGTGTCTTATAGACTCTTGTAGAAATAAGAGAATCTCTGTTCTGAAAAATAAAATAAAATGAAGTGAAATAAAATAAAATAATAAAATGAAATTAAAATAAAATATATGCAGGGGAGCAAACAGATTAGGCTAAAATTATTTCTGAGATGTCCTTCTAAACAGGAATGTATCAGATATTTTAGACAAATCACTTCTTAACCCAATCTGTCCATCTCCTGATTTGCAATGTAGAAATGATGATGATGATAATGATGAAATATTATACAAAATATTGAGATGCATCTCTGGAATCTTCCCCACAACAACATCAAAATCTCTTAGGAGATAGGCATCCTGAAGAAAAGGATGTACCGCGACATTAAAAAGACGAGATTGATGAAGTAAAACGTTATTTTATACCCACAACAAAACATGGACCTGCTGATGTTTTCAGACAATCTTCTAAGAGCCTCATACGCGTCTTTTGAAGGTCTGGACTGTCCCACTCTTCGGGGTCCACTCCCCAGTATAGATCAATGACCTAGAAAGAAAAGAAATAATATTATAATACTTATATCTAGTATTATCTCACGAATAACAATTCAGGCTGTAACTCAACATTTAAAAAAACACACACTAAAAGCAATAGTTTAAGAAAATGAGGGTTTATGGACAGTAACAAAAGATCAATTCTGTCAACACGGAAGGCCACCTCTGAGAAGCTCATGTGGAGCGTTATAATTATTAAGACTCATGACTAATGGGAGTACTTTTAATTCCAAGGGTCACTCTTTCCAAACAAGCTTGGTTAGTACTTATGATACATCAGAAGAGAGAAATAATGCAACAGGCTTTAAGAATAACTTACAAATTTCTGTCTGTCTATCTACTATCTATCTATCTATCTATCTATCTATCTATCTATCTATCTATCTATCTATCTATCTATCTATCTATCTCTATATCATCTCTATCATCTCTCATCATTCTCTCTTTCATCTCTATCATCTCTCTATCATCTATCATTATGTCTGTCTGTCTGTCTGTCTATCTATCTATTATCTATCACTCATCTCTCTCTCATCTATCATTATGTCACTTTGTCTATTTATCATCTCTATCTATCCTCTATGTATCATCTCTCTCTTGATATATTTATTATCCTTTATTATGTCTGTTTGTCTATCTATTATCTCTCTCAATATATTTATCATTCTTCTGTCTGTCTGTCTGTCTGTCTATCTATCTATCTATCTATCTATCTATCTATCCATCTTCTCTCTCTCTCTCTCTCTCTGTCTATCTATCTATCTATCATCTATCTATCTATCTATCTATCTACAGTATCTATCTATCTACAGTATCTATCTATCTATCTATCTATCTATCTATCTATCTATCTATCTGTTTACAGTATCTATCTACAGTATCTATCTATCTATCTATCTATCTATCTATCTATCTATCTATCTATCTATCTATCTTCTCTCTCTCTCATCCATCCATCCATCCATCCATCCATCCATCCATCCATCCATCCATCATCTCTTTCTCTCTCCCCCTCCCTCCCTCCCCCTTTCTCTCTCTCATCTCCATCCATCCTTCTATCCAGTCAGGGGAATTCTGGGAGTTGAAACCCACAAATCTTAAAGTTGTATGGCTGGACACCTCTACTTTAGACCAGTATCAGCCCCAACAACTGTGAATACGACAGCAGTTCCTTAATGTTTAAACTTGCTTCTTATATATTCTTATATTCACTTATATTCACTTCATTTTATTATTGAGGTACGGTGGAGGACAGCAAAGGATGCATTGTGACAGGAGAAGTGAATCCCGTCTCCAATTTTACAGAGAATCTCTATGTTGTTGTTGTTGTTAATTGCAAAGTCGTGTCCGACCCATCGCGACCCCATGGACAACGTTCCTCCAGGTCTTCCTGTCCTCTACCATCTTCTGAAGTCCATTTAAGTTCACACCTACTGCTTCAGTGACTCCCTCCAGCCATCTCATTCTCTGTCGTCCCCTTCTTCTATCGCCCTCCATCTTTCCCAGCATCAGGCTCTTCTCCAGTGAGTCCTTCCTTCTCATTAGGTGGCCAAAGTACTTGAGTTTCAGCTTCAGGATCTGGCCTTCTCAAGAGCAGTTGGGGTTGATCTCTTCTAGGACTGACTGGTTTATATAACCCCTTTATGGATTACTGCCTTGTCGTGGCGAAGGGGCTTGTGTAACTCAATGAAGCTATAAGCTATGCCGTGCAGGGCCACTCAAGACGGACAGGTCATAGCAGAGAGTTCTGACAAGATGTGATCCACTGGAGAAGGGATCCACTCCAGTATCTTTCCCATGAAAACCCCATGGACAGTACTAAAAGGCAAAAAAAAAAAAAAAAGAATCTCTATACACCAAACCAATCGTCATAATAATTATCTAACTTGGACACGCAACAGCAAGCAGTAGTCATGTATTCAGAGTGCTATTTTTAAAAAAAATCTCACTATTTAATATTTTGTTGTTTGGGTTGCCAGAATACTGAGCCTTTAAAATAGCAGATGTTTAATTGTTCACATTTTTCTTTTGTGCCTACAGATCCAGTCTGAATAATCTTAGCGGTAAGACCGCACACGGGGGGCGGGGGGGGGGAAACTGAAGAAAAGAAAAAAAAGAAATACGTTTATTTAAAGAAATGAAGCAATGCAGTGTGATTTCACACCATTTTTAGCTCACGGGGGATATTACAGAGAGTCCTCTACTTACGACGGTAACTGAGCCTGGAATTATGAGCATAAGCCATTGTGGTGGTTATGTTGTGGGAGGTCATCCGTAATTATGGCCTGAAACTTGGGTCACGAGGCACTGAGGGACCCAGACCTTTTCGTCAACTTTTTTTTTAACGGCAGTTGTTAAGCAAACACCACGGTCATTAACTGAATCAGTTCTCCCCAATGGGTGTTTTATTTTTATTTTTTGCTGGAAACCGGAAACAAACGTCAGAAACTTGCAAAAAAACATTGCACATTCACAACGTGTGAGACACTGCAAGTGGTCTTCACATTAAAGGGGTTGTCAAGTGCCCTAAGTAGGGTTGTTGTTACTGTTAATTGCGAAGTCGTGTCCGACCCATTGCGGCCCCATGGACAATGTTCCTCCAGGTCTTCCTGTCCTCTACCATCTTCTGGAGTCTATTTAAGTTCACACCTACTGCTTCAGTGATTCCATCCAGCCATCTCATTCTCTGTCGTCCCCTTCTTCTCTTGCCCTCCATCTTTCCCAGCATCAGGCTCTTCACCAGTGAGTCTTTCTTTCTCATTAGGTGGCCAAAGTCCTTGAGTTTCATCTTCAGGATCTGGCCTTCTAAAGAGCAGTCAGGGTTGATCTCCAATAGAACTGACCGGTTTGATTGCCTTGCAGTCCAAGGGACTCGCAGGAGTCTTCTCCAGCACCATAGTTCAAAGGCCTCAATTCTTTGGCGCTCAGCCTTTCTTATGGTCCAACTTTCACAGCCATACATTGCAATTGGGAAAACCATGGCCTGGACTATACGCACTTTTGTTGGCAGGGTGATGTCTCTGCTTTTTAGTATGCTGTAAGTAGGGTTATGTGACTGCAAAAACTTCAAACAACAACAACAACAACAACAACAACAAAAAACAATGGTCCGAAATAGATTTTGAGAGGGCTCTGCTCGTAACTTTGAACGGTTGTTAAAAGTTGTACGCTGAGGACTACCCACATGGAAAAGGACTACAGGGAGTCCTCAATTTACAGCACTTGTTTAGTGACCATCCAAAGTTAAACCCGGCACTGGAAAAAAGAAGTGACATGACAGTTTTTCACGCTTAACGGCCGTTGCAGCATCCCCATGGTGACATGATCAAAAATTCAGGCACTCGGCAAATGACTCACATTTACGACGGTTGCCGTGTCCTGGGGTCACGTGATTCCCCCTTGTGCGACCTTCTGACAAGCCAAGTCAATGGAGGAAGCCCATTTCACTTAACAACGGGGCGACTAGCTTAACAACGGCAGCGATTCGCTTAAGAATGGCGGCCAGCAAGGTTGTCAAATTGAGCAAAACTCACTTAACAAATGTCTCACTTAGTAACAGAAATGTTGGGCTCCATTGTGGTTGTAAGTTGAGGGTATTTAAAGGAGAAAAATCTAATGAAGCCATCATTAGGCCAAGATAGATGGAAACTAACCAAGGAGAGAAGCAACCTAGAACTAAGGAGAAATTTCCTGACAGTGAGAACAATTAACCAGTGGAACTCCTTGCCTCCAGAAGCGGCAAATGCTCCAACACTGGAAGTTTTTAAGAAGAAAGTGGACAGCTATTTGTCTGAAAAAGTATAGGGTTTCCTACCTGAGCAGGGGGTTGAACTAGATGACCTCCAAGGTCCCTTCCAACTCTATTATTCTATTCTATTCTATTCTATTCTATTCTATTCTATTCTATTCTATATTTTCTATTCTATTCTATTCTATTCTATTCTATTCTATTCTATTCTATTCTATTCTATTCTATTCTATATTTTCTATTCTATTCCTTTTCTATTCTGTTCCTATTCCTATTCCTATTCCTATTGCTATTCTATTCTATTCTATTCTTATTTCCTCTTCCTATTTCTTCTCTTCTCTTCTCTTTTCTTGTTATTTCTTAGTCCTTATTTTCTATTCTATTCTATTCTATTCTATTCTATTCTATTCTATTCTATTCTATTCTATTCTATTCTATTCTATTCTATTCTATTCTATTCTATTTCATTCCATTCTCTCTTCTCTTCTCTTCTCTTCTCTTCTCTTCTCTTCTCTTCTATATTTTGGGGTTCTGTGCTGTCTTTTTGAATTGCAGGTTTGAAAAAACCACTTTAGGTATTTGGACACAATGTGAAATTAACCCTAAAGGTTTTCAGGGTGCAGGAACTAATGGTTCCTGTGGTCCGTAGCATTAAGAATAGAGAAGTGGAAAGATGAACGAAGCAGACTCTTCGGGGAAAGCTTAACAGCGTTACAAGTGCTTGCACCGTGTTATCATTCATTTGGTACCCACGGTGTCCTATTCAATGAATCATAAAAGGAAACATTTCAGTTAGGAATAGGTTTCAAACACGTACAACGAGCCTTCTGTCACTTGGGTAATGCTTTAACAGTTTACTTCTATATATGTCCGCTGAGAAAAAAAAGAAAAGAAAAAAAGAAAGCTCTGCTGAACTGAATGGAGATTGAACAAGCCTTGCATTGCCACCTAAAAGCTTGAAAAAATGATATTAGCAATTGAATGTATGAAGGGAGAATGTAGGGATGAAGACGCTTAAAGCGATGCTTAGTTAGGCCATGGGATCCTTGGTGGAGCTGGTCTCTACCTAGTGGTATTAAATGCCAAGTGAGTAAAAAAAAAAAAAAAGCTATTTTTCTCTCTCTCTGTCCAGTCTAATGGATGGTCCTCATCTCCTTTTCCTAGCCAAGGCAAGCAGCATTTTCTGAAGATACTTTTTGTGGTCACGCAGCTGGCATGACGGTATGCCGAGGCGCATGGAATGCGGTCACCTTCCCACCGAAGTGGTCCCTATTTATCTACTTGCCTTTGCAGGCCTGCAGGAGCTGAGGCAAGGAACGTAAGCTCACCCTATCACACAGTGCTCGGCTCTTGAACTGCCAACTTTCCGGTTGGCAAGCCCAGCATCTTAACCGCTAAGCCACTGCACCGCCAGTGCCAAATTGACGTATGATAAATCTACCCTTCTCCATGTTTAGTCATGGGGGAGTCAGCCTGCTGTTGGTAACCAAGACATGGATAAGCCTGGGATGGTGGTGACCCTTTTCAGAGTTGTTATTTATTTATTTATCTCTCTCTCTCTCTTCCTCTCCCTCTCTTCCTCCCTCCCTCCCTCCCTCCCTCCCTCATATCATCTCTCTCTCTCTCTCTCTCTCTCTCTCTCTAGCTCCTAGAAGCACGAAGCCGAAAACACCAGCCTGAAGATGAGGAATGGGACTTCGCCAAAACATCGCCAAGACACTTCCAATTTTACGCGGGAGAAAACCCGAATAACCAAAGATCTACATACAAACACCCGTGTCTAGTTTAACGAAGAGAAGGACAAGGGGGGACATGATAGCAGTATTCCAATATCTCAGGGGCTGCCATAAAGAAGAGGGAATTAAGCTATTTTCCAAAGCACCTGAAGGCAGGACAAGAAGCAACGGGTGGAAACTAATCAAGGAGAGAAGCAACCTAGAACTAAGGAGAAACTTCCTGACAGTGAGAACAATTAATCAGTGGAACAGCCTGCCTCCAGAAGCAATAAATGCTCCAACACTGGAAGTTTTTAAGAAGAGACTGGACAGCCATTTGTCCGAAATGGTGTAGGGTTTCCTGCCCGAGCAGGGGGTTGGACTAGATGACCTCCAAGGTCCCTTCCAACTTTACTAATATGAACAAAACCTCAGAAAACATCTATCTATCTTATCTATCTATCTATCTATCTATCTATCTATCTATCTATCTATCTATCTATCTATCTATCTATCTATCTATCTCTATCTCTACATCTATCTATCCCTACATCTGTCTGTCTGTCTGTCTGTCTGTCTGTCTGTCTGTCTGTCTGTCTATCTATCTATCTATCTATCTATCTATCTATCTATCTATCTGTCTGTCTGTCTATCTTTCTGTTATATCATTTGCTGAAACCTGTTGAGTTCATCTATACAGTATCAAGACTATATGAATTTTGTAGCTTCCCCCTAATAAATCCTGGGAGTTATTTTTTGAAAACAAAACAAAAAAAAAGAATAAATATCTCTTCCAGCCTTGCAAAAATGGTGATTTCAAGAATTCCCTAAGGGAAAGGCTATGATTTAATCCAGTTTGGCAGTATCCACTGAAACCTTGTCAAGATTTAGTAAAAAAAAAAAATCTGTCAAGAAAAGATAGTGAATCTTTGCTCTCAATTCTGAATTTAGAAATGCAACATTTGTCATTCAATAATAGGAATAGCCACCATACCTCTAACTGCAGTTTTACCCTGTGTGTGTTTATCTTTAAACTGAGCTATTTCTTTTAAAAATAACTCTCAAAAAACCAGTATTTAACAGGAGCCTTTGCTTTCTGAAACTCAAAAAATAAAAATAAAAATCAGTTGACCTTTAAAAAAATAAAGTAACTTACACAAGAAAGACCTGCCTTTAGCATAAGCTGGCCTATTGCTGTCCTACTTTTGATTTTTCATGTGCCAGGCATAATCACATCATTGCAATTCAATATTTTTGACCACTGAACTGATTGGATGCCTGATTGAATATGCCCACATAGCGCTGCATGAAAAGAGAACATATCCCAATTATTCCTCCCATCCTTCTTCTCCCCCATGATTGTGTGTAAAATTATGCCAAAATGGCCTGTTTTGCAAAGAAGCTGTCAATGTTGCTCCTTTTATTGACATTAGAGTCAAGAGTCTTTATTGCTAAAATGGTGGATGACATTGGAGTCAAGAGTCTTTATTGCTAAAATGGTGGATGACATTGGAGTCAAGAGTCTTTATTGCTAAAATGGTGGTGATTGACACCTGCAGACAGATTGGCAGACATCAATGAACTGGGCTAAACCTTAAGCCCTCACCTAGGACTTGGTGAATAATCAAAAGATATCACAGTGCACACAACTCTACATCCGGCACCACAAGATCAATAAAACGCCACTCTTAAGTTAAGGGCGACTCTTGGTTTGAAGGCGATAACAACACGGGGGAACTAGCGAGACAAACATGGATAAAACAATAGTGGCACCTAATTATGCCTGGTTGTGAAAGCTTTTGAGGATGCCACACAGGCTGTTTTGTTTTGTTAGACTACAACTTCCTGCTGTGAGGGTAATTTTGAGTTTAGTACCATGGAGACAGCAGCCAAAACACAACATTCGCGCTCACATATGGATTAAGTGGGCGTGCGTTTAGCATTATAACCCAAAAACAAATGTTGTACATACCCTCTATGTTTAGAATAGAATAGAGCTGGAAGGGACCTTGGAGGTCTTCTAGACCAACCCCCTGCTTGGGCAGGGGAATGTATGCTATACTGTATTTCATTGCAGAAGAGAACCAACTGAAGGCAACTTTGGGGAAAAAAATCCAATTTACCGTTATTGTTCCATCATACTTTCCCTCAAACTGGGAGCACGGATATCCCAACGATGAATACAAAAAAGGTCATCCTTGACTTATAGAGGTAGTCCTTGACTTTCAACTGTTCACTTAGTGACTGTTTGAAGTTACAACGGCACGGGGAAAAAAGAGACTATTTTCACACTTTTGACCCTTGCGGTATACTGTGGTCATGTGACTTACATTCGGTTGATTGACAACTGACTCACATTTAGGACGGATGCATTGTCACGTCATCCCCTTTTACAATCTTCTGACAACTGCAGTATTGTTCACTTTGGGGCTCCTGTTCCTAATTCAACACCTGCAGCAATTGGCTTAAGAAAACTGGCAAGAAAAGCCATCAAATGGAACAAAACTCACTGAACGCCTGCCTCACTTAGTGACATAAATTTTGGGCTCAATTGTGGTCATATGCTGAGGATCATCTGTACAGTGGCACCCTGTGGATATCGGTGGGATTCTCTAACCCCCACCGGACAGACGATGAACAGATTTCCGTTTAGCAAGCTAACCAGCATCCCGGCTTAAAAAATTTGGAACGTAGGAAACGCTACCTGGAATTCCATCCCATAGTTTTCTCTGCAGAATTCCCGCAGCTTGGGGTACACGTGTTCTCGTAATGCGTTCCTTTCTGCGACGGTATCTGTAAGCGAGAAGGGCGAAAAAATAGAAATAAATGAACAAAACGTGGTCGCAACCGTCTGTATTTATAGCTCTGCAGTTTTATGTGGAAGAGAAGCCTCATTTTAAAAATTGGGAACACAAGCGTGAGGCAGGAATCTGATTCTGTGCCCCAGGGAATAGCTTGTTGAACAGAAACACTTACTCTGACATTTATCCAAATTTAGTCGAGCACTTATGGCATTAATTCAGCATAATGTTTATACACGACACTGAGTTTGGATTTTTTTTTTTTTAGTTAGCAGGAGCTCTGGAAAGATAAGACCAGCAGCAATCAAGCCATCATAAAAAAAATCCTTGAAGCCTCTGACTGTAACAATAATTCAACGTGACATTTAAAGAATATATATTTTGAACAGTTCCAAACTTTGCAGGAAAGAGTTGAAGCAATAATTCAGCATGTTTTCTTTTCTTTTTTTTTTTTACAGTCCAGCCTGCTTGCTCTTTGATGGATTTACCTCAGGAATAAGACAGTATAACATAACAACATCAGAACAATATAACATAATATATATAAAAAAGGACTTCCTTGTCTAAATTCTTGTGGCTTCCTACTGCTAGTTCACAGTGCACATGTACACAAGAATTATATTAAACTTATGAACATAAACTCTCATCTTTCTTTCTTTCTTTTCTTTCTTTCTTTTCTTTCCTTTCTTTCTTTTTCTTTTCTTTTCTGCCTGCCTGCCGGCCTGCCTATCTATCTGCCTATCTATCTATCTATCTATCTATCTATCTATCTATCTATCTATCTATCCATCCATCCATCCATCCATCCATCATCTATCTTTCTGTCATCTACCTATCTACCTACCTACCTTATCTATCTATCTATTATGTCTGTCTCTGTGTCTATCATCTATCATCTTTCTCATCTCTCTCATCTATCATTATGTCTGTTTGTCTATCATCTCTATCATCTCTCAATATATTTATCATTCTTCTGTCTGTCTGTCTGTCTGTCTGTCTGTCTGTCTGTATCTATCTCTCTATCCATCCATCTTGTCTGTCTGTCTGTCTGTCTGTCTGTCTGTCTGTCTGTCTATCTATCTATCTATCTATCTATCTATCTATCATCTATCTTTCTATCATACCTATCTACCTATCTACCTACCTACCTATCATCTGTCTTTCTATCATCTATTTTTCTATCTACCTTTCTACTTACCTATCTATCTATCTATCTATCTATCTATCTATCTATCTATCTATCTATCTATCATCTATCTTTCTATCATACCTATCTACCTATCTACCTACCTACCTACCTACCTATGTCTATCATCTATTTTTCTATCTACCTTTCTACTTACCTATCTATCTTATCTATCTATCTATCTATCTATCTATCTATCTATCTATCTATCTATCTATCTATCTATCTATCTATCTATCTATCTATCCGGCAATGTTTTTTTTGTTTGTTTATTAAAAAATCGATTCTCAATCTCTGAATGGGTGCTTAGCTCACTCCCCCTCACCTTCCTGTCTTCTGTCTGAGGCCCATTACTCTTCCATATCTTCATAAATGATCTAGATGAGGACATTGAAGGGAAGCTCATCCAATTTACAGACCACACTACGCTGGCAGGAATAGCCAACACCCCAGAAGACAAGCTCAGGATCCAAAAAGATCTTGACAGACTTGAACACTATCTAACAAAATGAAAATCAACGTAGATAAAAGTAAGGCTTTACGCTTAGACAAGAAAACCCAACTGCATAAATATAGACTAGGTGACACTTGGCTTAATGCCAGCAATGTGAAAGGGATCTTGGGAGTCTTAGTGGACAGTCACTTAAATATGAACTAGCAGTGTGGGGCAGCAGCCAAAAAAGCCAATGCAATCGTAGGCTGCATTAATAGAGGAATAGAATCAAGATCACGTGAAGTTCTAGTCCTGCTTTGCAAAGCCTTAGTAAGTCCACACTTGGAGTACTGCATTCAGTTCTGGTCCCTACATTATAAAAAAGATGTTGAGACTCTAGAAAGAGTGCAGAGAAGAGCAATAAAGATGATTAAGGGACTAGAGGCCAAAACATACGAAGAACAGTTACAAGAACTGGGTACGTCTAGTCCAGGGGTCTTCAGACATGGCTCTTTTATGACTTGTGGACTTCAACTCCCAGAATTCTGGGACCTGAAGTCCACAAATCATAAAAGGGCCAAGTTTGAAGAACCCTGGTCTAGTCTAATGAAAAACAGGACTAGGGGAGAGATGATAGCACCATTCCAACATTTGAGGGGCTCCTACAAAGACGAGGAGGTCAAACTATTTTCCAAAGCACCAAAAGGCAAGACAGGAAACAATGGATGGAAACTAACCAAGGAGAGAAGCAACCTGGAACAAAGGAGAAATTTCCTAACAATGAGGGCAATCAACCAATAGAACAGTTAACTTAGCGACTGTTTGAAGTTACAACGGCACTAAAACGATGACTTAGGACCATTTTTCACTCGTGACCGCGGTCACGTGATCAAAATTCAGACGCTTTGCGCAACTGACTCATATTTATGATGCTTGCAGTATCCCAAAGTCACACGATCCTTTTGTGATCTTCTGTACTTCTTGGGGAGACCAGGGGCTTCAGCTGAGCCGTGTAGTCACAATTACTATACAAGCATATTGTTTCACAGCTCAATAGTTTAGCAGACAGATAATTTTAGGCTGATCGGGGCTCCGCTTTCCAAATTAGTTCCGCTGCTTTAGACACGTTTCATCTGAGCATGTCCATTGTTTAATAAGAGTATTTTCCTAAACAAGCACCCCGTGATTGTAAGCTGAGATGAATGCAGGAAAACCTCCCGAGTAAACATGCAAAGGAACAATAAATTACTGCTAATTGAAAGGTGAACGAGGCTCGTTAATTATAGCTTGCTCAGTGTAGTTTGTTGTGTCTTCCATTGTCTACATTGTCTAGACCTGGAAGTTTATAATAACGTTGGCTTAAATACAGGAACAAGGGCAGGTTTCAATTTCATAGCAGCATCTCCCACAACAGATCAATCCCACAAACCACATTTCTTCAAGTCCTCCGGGTTGCGTTGTATCGCTTCTGTTACAAAAAGCTTTTGGAGGAACATTAGCAGAGAAATGGAGGTGATGGTGAGGTCTTCCATGCTCTCTTGAGTTTGGTTGTTTTCTTGCAGACGTTTCATTACCCAGCCAGCTGCTTGAACCACAAGATGGGTGGCTAATAAATTTGATGATGATGATGATGATAATAGTAATAATAATAATAATAATCTGCATCTGTCTATCCCAGAGAAGGACTCACAAAAATGAAATATTCAGTCTGAACATCTGGCTGATTTTACAATGAACCTTATTAACAACTACTACTCATCTAGGTAGCAACATCGGTGCAAGAAAACCACCAAGCTCAGAGAGCACAAAGATTCCAGTTCTTCTTCTTTTTCTTTTTCTTCTTCTTCTTCTCCTCCTTCTCCTTCTCCTTCTCCTTCTTCTTCTTCCTCTTCTTCTCCTCCTCCTCCTCCTCCTCCTCCTCCTCCTCCTCCTCCTCCTCCTCCTCTCTGCAAACCCCACTGCCTTGTTGCACTGATGATGTTTCCTAGTTGGGTCATGAAATAACTGCAAGAAAACCACCAAGCTCAGAGAGCACCAAGGATTCCATAGTCATTGTCGTCGTCCTCCTCCCCCATTCTCTTTTAACACTGATAATCTTACCTATTTGAGTAATGCAACATCTGCAACAAAACAACCATCTTCATTGACCCCACACTCCTCCTCCTCCTCCTCCTCCACCTCTCTGCAAACCCCACTGCCTTCTTGCACTGAGGATGTCCTCAGCTGGGCCATGAAACATCTGCCATCAAGCTCAGAGAACACCAAGGGCCACCCTGCGCTACAAATATTCTTTGCTATTTATGAATACATTTACAGATCTTCGCCACTGCTGCATATTCTTTTCTATCAAAGGTGTCCACCTTTTAGTGTCCGAGCAATATTGCTCCTTTCTTTAATGTTCTCCGATAATGCCCACTGTTTGCACTTCTGCCTAGTCTTTTGTCTCATTCTTCTCCAAACACGGTGGAAAGGAAACCATCGTGTTTGTTACAGTTTCTTTCTTGGGAGAACCCCCCTGAGCTCCCAATTTTCTGAATTGAATAATACTTTCTCCTACCGGGCTGATCAGCAAACGCACAGCATCTGTTGCTACTTTAAGAAAGTTCTCTGGGGGGGGGGGGAGATGGATCGTTTTAGTCCGCACAGTTTTAGCACTGTCTCTATTATCCTTCCTTATTTCCTTCGGATGTATGCCATTTTAAATAGGTCACCTAAGCACCAACATAAGCAGAGACGATGCTGAAAGTCACCAAGTCGGAACGCACCCATACCCTAAAAGATGTTTATTAGATCCTCTGATTTGGAGATATCCTACTGTGTTGCAATCAGGAGCTTCACGCTATTCTATTCTGTTGTTTGCGGCATTTAATTCAAGGCCTTTTTTTTATAGCTATTTTTGTATTGTGGGTGATTTGCTGAGGGGGCTCAAGATAAATTTTTTTTTTTGGTACTTCCCTTAATCCAACCACACGATTCAAACTGATTCATTTCTCTTTTAATACACAAGAATATGGTAGAAATATTTAGTCAGCTGAATAGAGAAGACCGTGGGGAATTTTGGGATAAAAAAAAAAAAGAGGAATTTCTATATATTGATTGTGACATCTCTGATCCTGGCCTATGAATATTTCCAAGACGATGGTTCTGCGTTTTAAAACTCCTCTGCTAGCGTTCTTTTAACCTTTGAGGCAAGTGAATCGAGACTTAAGTACAGATTAACTTTTAAAATTGCTAATACAGAATATTGTGGTTGATTGCAATTAAAAGCCACAAGCAGAAAAAGTCTAGAAGGACCAGAATCATTGTAATCAAAATTAATTTGGAACAAGTACTCTCTGTACTCTGAATACATTTCCTGTGTGATTTCTACAAA